GAATTAACAATAAACTCATAACACGTTAACAATTATTTGTCGTTTTTGTCAACATTTCAATTCATACGAAACATTAAAAATTACATTAAAAATTAGTCAATAATTAATCACAAAATTATAACAAATAATAATTAATAAAATTCAAAACAAATCTAATTTATTGAAACAAAAAACATTTTTGCATTTAAAAAGTGATATTTAAATTCACATTATTGGCATTTATGGCATCCCACTCTTGAAATGTTTGTCCCAATAATGGCATCCAATGATCACTGAATGGTTTCGCCTCTCGGATGGCATTCCTGTCCTTCAGATAGTCTTTACAGATCGGATCGCAGTCTTTGAACACATCTTTAAATGTATTGTTTGAGCGATTATTACGACATTTTGACATAATTTTGCGTATAGTTTGCGAATCGCGTCGGAAGTCGTCAATGAAAGCGCACACAAATGGGAAGCCGACCGACAGATGAATACATATGAAAGTATAAGCCATTGGATTTGTGACCGGTTTTCCGAAAATTGTGATCACTTCGTGTACAAAATGATAAGTCAATCGGCGGTAGAAATCCTTAAATAAATGTTTGACAAAACGTTGTGTTTCTGTCATTGTTTGGGATATTCTGTTGAATTCGTCGTCGTATGAAATGTAAGCACTTTTCAATCCATCGATCGCTGTATAGACGGATCGCAATTGTCTGAACGCTTGAACCCATCCGGGTTTGCAGGACAACAGATACAGATGTTTTGTCCCCTGGGGTGCCGTGTAGTCAGCATTGGTCGCCACATAAAACTCGTTCAAATATACGGATACAGTGGACAAAATGACGGCACAGTTTGCTTTCACTAAATAGTACACCAAATAATCCATAACTTCTGTAAAGTGCGGGTAATTTGCGGACATCTCTCGCATCGCCTCAAAAATCTCTAATCGGAGTATATTTTCGGACGAATTTCTAGTCGTATCCAAACTCGCATTGAATGCCGTGAAAATCGCTTGAAATTTCTGTCCATTGAATCCGTCTATTTTGCACCACCGATAGAGTCTAATGTATTGACGCAATGCTGAGTCAATGAATTGATTGTAATTGTGTGGCGGCGCCGGTTGGCCGGCCTGTTGGGGCTCGTGGGCCGCTCTGCCCCAGCATTGGCCGTAAAACTCGGCAATTGTCTGCTTAACATTGGGATCAATCCGGAAGAGCGGCACATCGTTGTTGAGCCCTCTGTACGTGTCCTCCAAGCGATACGATTGCCAAATGAATTCCAAATCGTTGAACGCCATTAGGGCTGGCGATCGAGTCCTGCCGTACGCCTTGTTATACGCCTGAAGACAATAGCGTTGAATGCCATACAAAACGCAATACAGTCTTAACGTATAGAAAGCGGCCACACGTTTGGCCCGATTGGTCGCAATGGGAGGCAATTGCGGGACAATAGTGAAGGAGAATGAATATGTGAGCGGATCTTTGGTCGCGTAGTCACCGAAGTCTACGTTAAAGTTCTCGCAAATGCCGAACCGCTCCTCCTTTGACTTCTCTGTGTTGGCCGACGGCATGAGTGGACCAACTCTTGTGAACACTTTGAACATCGCTATAAACGCCGTTAAAAAGCCGTTCACTTTGATCTCTGAATTGATGGGATTGGCGGCGATTCCCAGTGTCCACACATTGTCTCTTATGGTCGCGATTTTCCTCTCCGCTTCATTACAGGACAAACGGATCGGATAATCAAACTCTTTGGTAAACAACACGTCTCTTGTGGTGAACTCACGCCTCTCTTCGCAGACAATAACGTAAGCCTTTTTGACATAACTCCTGAAGTGTGTCTGAATGAGTTGATCCAATTCATTGTACCATGCTTTTTTAGTGTCCTTATCCGTGTCCACGAATCGGCTCTCAAGTGCTATCTCTTTGTGTAAATGTGTGACAATTGTCACGAAATCGCATAAGTCTTGTATACAAATGTCGGCCAACGGATTGTCCGACAATTGTAACCGTAAATCGATAGGCAATTCAAACCGTAACAACTTATATGTAATTGCATTGATATTAGACGGTTTGGGATCAGATGTGGTGTAATTGTCCGAAACTAAGGTATCTTTTCGGACAAATTCGTCGAGATATCTCTTCCGGTAGTCGTTCGCTGTGGCGATCAGATGGAGGACAGGAGTCCGGGGCGACGGCTGAGGGGGCGCTGGAGGTTGGGTTTTGACGGCGGCTATCATTAGATACATGTTTGAAATGTTGGTATTTTTGCGCACAAAGAGTCGGTTGTGTTGAACCATAAGAAACCGATAGATAGGGTTGAAGTGGAAGAATGCGTTCCAATTACACCATTCGCTGCAGAGGCAGACACTGTCCAGGTAAACCACCACGCCAAGGTGAGGATAGACCTTTAGCGTTATTAGTTGCGAAAACACTTCCTGAGCGAGAAAGTCTTTAAATTGGGCAGAAAGTTACAACAGCAGGAAGCCCAGCTGGAGGCGCTCGTCGGCCTTCAAAACTGCCATCGAATCGATGGGTGATCTCCAGTAAAAGTCTTTGGTGTTTGGATCAACTCGTGGCCGAATGTAAGACACGCGGAGTTTATGTGCGGCCAATCTGTGACCGGAGCCGGGATTGTGTGTCAGCTGTCGGTGCGCTTCGAGTCTTCTGTCCAACATTTTTGAGATACAAGTCATGTGGAAATCAGAGACGTCTCCAGCAATGGCTCCGAATTCGTTGGGCACACGGAATGTGATTTTGAACAACACTTCCACTCCTGTGGCCTCCAACTCAACCCAATCCTCAAAGCCCTCGACATGTATTTCTTGGTATCTAATCCTAATCTGTTGATTGTATTTACAATTGTCGACCACTCGTCCGATCACTAGCGGGAAGGGCTGACTCTGGGGCTCAGTGTCTGACAATTGAAAAGTCACCGTCGGTTGTGTCCACTGAACGGCAGCCCCGCCTCGGACTCCGATCACAGCCACACAAATCTCATAGGTTTCCAACTGAATGGCCGAACGGATTCGTGTCACCAGAACTGTAACACTCGTGTCATTCAATTGGACGCCGAAGAGTTCCAACACTTGAGCCGAGTATTGCTTAAACATATTTGTCGACAGTTCTTCGTTGATGTCCTCAAAACCACAATAAGACATGAGATACACTTTGAAAGCTCTATATATTGCTTGATTTGAAACGTATTTGAGTGCCATCCTATACAGAGCCTGTTTGCCGGCTGTGCCCACCGGTGCCGTCATAGCCATCGCTCCGATTTACTTGTAATCACTTTTTTACTGATTTTTTGGTTTGATTTTAGGCAAAGAGTGTTTGGATATGAATTATTTTGTTTGAATGAAAAATAACTGAATTTAAGTCTCTCGTGATAACGATTGTATTGTTTGTGATTTTTAATGAATTACATTTTTGTGAGTTTTAGTTGTTATTATTAAATGTATTTTTATATGTATTGTGTTTAGCATAAACAAGGTAATTATTTATGTATTAATTTTGAATCATTATAAAATATAAATAACTAGAAAAGACATCGAGAAATGTTTTACAATTTAGGCACCTTTTATACTCAATAAGGTGTTATCCATAATATGATTATTAATATACTGTACTGTAATTATATTTGTATTGCATTTTGTTTAAAACTTTATTGACAATCAACTATAACATGCCAACAATTAATTATTTATGCTAGACTCTCTCTCTCTCTCTCTCTCTCTCTCTCAGTCGGCCTTCAAAACTGCCATCGAATCGATGGGTGATCTCCAGTAAAAGTCTTCGGTGTTTGGATCAACTCGTGGCCGAATGTAAGACACGCGGAGTTTATGTGCGGCCAGTCTGTGACCGGAGCCGAGATTGGGTGTCAACTGTCGGTGCGCTTCGAGTCTTCTGTCCAACATTTTTGAGATACAAGTCATGTGAAAATCAGAGACATCTCCGGCATTGAACCCGACTTCGTTGGGCACACGGAATGTGATTTTGACCAACAGTTCCACTCCTGTGGCCTCCAACTCGACCCAATCCTCAAAGCCCTCGACATGTATTTCTTGGTATTTAATCCTAAACTTTAGACAGTCTTTAATATTGGTATCCATGAGTCGTATAGTGATTGTCTCGTTATTAACCCTTTTGTTGGCCAACACTTTATAACTAATCTGTTGATTATATTTACAATTGTCGACCACTCGTCCGATTTGTAGCGGAAAGGGCTGACTCTGGCGCTCAGTGTCTGACAATTGAAAAGCGACCGTCGGTTGTGTCCACTGAACGGCAGCCCCGCCTCGAACTCCGATCACAGCGACACAAATCTCATAGGTTTCCATCCGAATGACTGAACGGATTTGGTTCACCACATCTGCGGCTCTCGTCTCATCCATTTGGACGCCGAAGAGTTTAAATACTTGAGCCGAGTATTGCTTAAACATATTTGTCGACAGTTCTTCGTTGATGTCCTCAAAACCACAATAAGACATGAGATACACTTTGAAAGCTCTAAAGATTGCTTGAGTCGCGAGTCTTTCGGTATACACGAAGTCCAGTGCCATCCTATACAGAGCCTGTTTGCCGGCTGTGCCCACCGGTGCCGTCATAGCCATCGCTCCGGTTTATGAAGTAATCACTTTTTTGTTGATAATTATTTTAAGAAATTTGCTTTGATTTTATGCAGAGTTTTTGGATATGAATTATAAATTCGTTTGAATGAAAAATAACTGATTTTTGTCTCGATAACAATTATATTGTTTGTATTTGAAAACTATTTATTAGACAAACAATGGTTTATAAGTTAAGACCAATTATACAAATGTTAAGTAAAAATATAACTAATGGATGTTATGTCAGTTAAACTATGCCAACAATTAATTATTTATGCTACTCTCTCTCTCTCTCTCTCTCTCTCTCTCTCTCACACACACACTCTCATTATAAATATCTCAATACAGTGCAACCTCTCTTGGGGGAACTTCTCTTGGGGGAATCCCTCCTTTAGAGGAACGGATTTTAAGCATATTTTAGATTTTCTATAGCTTTAACAGAACCTCCCTTGGAGGAATCCTCTCTATAGGGAACACTTTTGGCGTGCATCTGGCCGTTCCTTATGGAGAAGTTGCACTGTATAAGTAAAGTCTTTATATAAATTAAAAATAATTGTATTCTGACTATAAAAATAAAGTTAAAATAAACATTATTCACGAATAACATCAATAATTTGCTTAGATTTGCATTGAATGAGATGTGAATTGACTTTAAATTTAAGCAACAAATAAGTGATTGACTTAAAAAAGACGAACTGAAACACCAATAGTCGCCAACATTTATCAAAATCGCTGTCAATTAATGTCATTTTATACATAACGGTAGACATGTCCCGATGTGAGCACCGGTCAAAGCCATACAGATATATAATTATATATTCAAACACTTGTCGCGTGATTATAATGTGTGACAGGAGCTGAAAGGGTCGGGCGAAGCGTTTGATCGGGGTGAAAAAGTTGCCCAAAATCAGCTGTATGGGAAATATGAACATGGACATTAAAGTAGCCGTTTTGCCAAAACATATGCCCAATATATGGCCCAACGATTGGCCGTTTAAGGCGGAGAAGAAGTAGACAAACAAATACACCGGTAATAAACTGTCCCTTTCGTAGATGTCTGTGATTAAGGCCAGACATATGATGGTTATAACGCACGGTATGGTATCGATCAGCGACTTGACCACAAAATACGATTCCGTGCTGTACCAGTCTATGATCATGATCATGGTGATAATAGTTATATGGTTTAAGTAATTATTAATTACTAATTAATAATGTAATCCAATTGTATTAATAATTAACTTACAATTTCTGTATTCATTGAGAAATATCTGATAATCGGATGTGAATGTGAGTGAAGTGCTGATCATTTGAATGGCCAAATACGAGAGGATTATAAACATATTGTAGTGAATGTTATACTGAATTATATTATTGTCGTACAACTGGTTCTTTGACGTGTGACAGGAAGTGTTCACATCGCCGGTGATGAGCCGCAGACAGCCGTCCGGTCGGTCCAAGTCTTGGCTAAAAATAATTTTTGCAAACAAACAGGACATCAATGTTACGTAAAACTGAATTAAAACTATTTTCCAATTGTATCGCACAGTGAATGTCAGCCCTCTTTGCAATAAATGCCACAATTCTTGCGTTGAAAACACTTTGGTTTCGATGGGAATACCGTTCGCATAGTATTTCAGTTCCCGATCTAATCTACTTATGTATTCACTCATGTCTTCGTTGGTCTTGTTTGACAATTCAGTGACTGTCCTATCGTTGACACCATTGGCACATATTTTCATCAACACTTCAATCGGTATTTGATTTTCTTGCAAAACAATGTGACAATTGGTTAAAAATGTGCGCAGACTTTGCGGTCGACCCGAGTATACGGTGAGACCGCCTTTCGCTAAGATATACAACATATCGTATAACATAATTATCTCGAGGTTTGGCTGATGTATGGATGTTATGATTGACAGGTTATGTCTTTGAGACAATCTTTTAAAGCACTGTATCATCTGTTCATAGATTACATAATTATTAATCAATTAATTAATAAATAAAATATTAATAAATACCAAAAGCGCTGAATAGCTGTCGACACCAGAAGTCGGTTCGTCAACACATATGAGATTTGGTTTGATTTTAGCCGTCATTTCCATTGCCATTACAATCCGTTTTTGTTGACCAAAACTGCATTTTTGGACGTCAGCTAACTCTATGTCCTTTATGTCCAACTCATCCATAAGTTTCAAAACATTTATCTCGTGATCGACACCACTATTGGATCCATTCTTCAGTTTAGACGCATAAACCAGTGTTTGTTTTACAGTTAAACCATTCATTATGTGTTCCCTTTGGTCCTGAGCTATAAAACAAGTCCTAATCCTTCGGTCTCTCGACAAATATATCTTCGAGTCTTTGGTCATTAGATCCCTATTCATGCCATTCAATGACCGCAAGAGTGATGTCTTTCCCGCACCCGACGGACCCATTAGTGCACACATAGACCCGAACTCAACGAATCCATTAATTCCTTTCAATATTAACTTTTCGGTCGAAAACAAAGTTTCATTGACTTTCAAAGTCATGTCAATCCACGCAATACTCAGTCGCTGTTGTTTTGCACCCAAATTGACATCAAATAAATCCTGTCTCTCGTATTCAATGTATGGTTTGTCGTAATTAACAATATGTTTGCGAAAATCCAATTCATTTTCAGCGCATTCATAGTATACGGAATCGGTTTCACCGGTAAATGACTTGCGTTTGCAAACATTTGTCACATTTGGTTCGTTTGTCACAAACTTAAGCCACAATTGATTTCTCAAATGCCACATCATATTAGGATTGTTGGCGTAAATCAATATCAAAAACGTGATTAATTTAAAGAAAAATATTTGCAAAAACATATACAGCGTGTAATCAATTAGTATATTGTCGTCATCGATATCATTGTCAAACAGTACTCTCGATGTCATGTGTTTGGGACACCTGTCCTGACCATAGATGGCCACATACTGGCCGTTCATAGCGAACCTCAATGTGGTTAATGGGGACAAAGCCCTGAACATAAGAGGGAGATCATTGATCCTGATAAATACATTGTTGAATAGTATAGACAATACAGCGTTGGCAATGCCGCACACATAACATAGATGTTTGCTGGACACCAGCGTCACAATCAACGCAATTGTGCTGTATATCAGATGTATTGCCAACACGTAAAACAAGACAAACGGCCAGAATCTCTTCGGTTCGTCCAATTGGTTGCTTAAATAAAACACGATTATACCGCTGAGTGCGCCAGAAACTGTGCATGGTACAAAGTCCATCACATTCTGGGTCAATAAATATGTGCCACTACTATACGATTCTGTTTAACATTGGATTATGTAATGAATTATACACTAAATTGTACGGAATATTCTGTAAACAATGTTATACTCAACTATTTCTGTGTTCAGTATTGAAACGAGTGAATGTGAGAATCAAACCATGGATGACCAGCACAGCCTGTATGGCCTGACACGTCCATAGGGTAAAGCCTAATAGCATAGTGTTTTGAAAGACCCGATTGTCGGCGTCCAAGCGGTCAATACACGTCTGGTTTGACTGTACGCTAAAGTCAATGCAATCGCTCTGTTGGCCGACGTCTGAGTCAAAACATATGGTCGTAAATATCGCTATCAATAACACAATGGTTTGGTTCAGCGCTAATATCCTCCACTGATAGGCAAATATTTCTGTTAACGATCTCATCGACAGAATCCACACGTCTTTTAGCAAAAACTTTTTGTTTTTATGTGCAATGAGTTTGACTTTTGTGTGCCTATCGATCGCGTCGACCGTTTCGCTAAACTCCGCGACGGTTTTGGCTTTCAATTGACGGACACTTTCATCGCCCATACCTTTGGATGCGATTGTAATGAGTGTCTCGATTGGCACCTGATTTTCATTGCATGTGATGTTACAGGCGTTTAGATGTGACACCAGTTGGTTGGGTGGACCCCAATAGACACAGTGACCCCCTTTTGCCAAAACATACAATTTGTCAAACATTGACAACACGTCTGAATTTGGCTGATGTATGGATGCGATGATCGCTATGTTGTGTCTTTGGGCCAAACTTTGTAGACATTGTGTTACCTGTGATTACATTTGAGTAAATGTAATGATATATTTTGAAATATAGCTCATGTATGCAATGACTGACCGCTTCGGCGATATTACTGTCCAAACCAGTGGTCGGTTCGTCGCATAACAAGAGGTTTGGTTTGTGAAGTGCCGTCAACTCCAACCCAATGGCCAGTCTCTTCTGTTCGCCTCCACTACACCTCTCGGTCTTCGTGTCCTTAATGTCAGATATCATGAGATCAGACATAATGGTCGACACATTCATCGCGTGATCGATGGATGACTTGTGCGAAGAGTTTTTGAGTTTTGAGGCGTAAATCATGTTTTGCTTTGCAGTCAAACCCATAATCAAAAACTCCTTCTCGTTGTGTGCGATAAAAGTGGACCTAATTTTGTCCGTAAGACTCAACCGGATCTCCGACTCCGGACTTAACCCCCAATTATTCAAACCATTGAAACACATCAACAGTGATGTGAGTCCCGCACCCGACGGACCCATAACTGCCGTCAATTGGCCCAACTCTGCCCTTCCGTTCACACCATTCAATACGATTGTCTCACGTCGTGTCACAGCATTGGATCTGATGCTAAACGTGAGGTTAATCCACGCGATCGCTGTCTTCGCCCCGCTTTCAGACATTTCGCACATTTGATGGCATTTTGTTGCGAATTTACATTAATGTTATAACTTATAAGTTATACCACATCTCAACATATGTTTTATAATGTTTCTACAGATCTATACGACTTGTTGTATAGTATTTCAAGTCATTAACACTCTTTGAAAATTAATTACATTAAGTAATTAAAAGAAAAATTAATGAAATTTTAAATTATGTTTGAAATAAATGCAAATACTGTACATAAACTCTCAAAATTTCATAATTATTATGATTTATTAACCGTTGATTACAATATAACTCGCAATTCTTCTGATAGGATGGGATAATCCAGTTATGGGTTCAAAACAAACAAAATTATAATAATAATCATTCATTGTTCACATTTTAAAAATCTATTATTTTTCGTTTATAATGTCTAATAAATTGAAAACAAATACAATTATTAAATTAAAACTTTTAAATGACTGCTAAAAAACTAAATCATATATAAAGTTAACGCCTATTAATATAATGTAGAGATTTATGACAATTTGCGTAAACTATTTGCACAAAAATAATAATAAAAACAAAAAACTAGTGATCAATAAATGCCAAAATACAGTGTAATTATAATGTCAATCAATCAAATCGTTTTCTTGTCTCTCAAATCCCAGTTTGCAGTCCAAGAATAGAGATCCACAAGAATTCAATCGACAAATAAAAATAGACATAAATTGTATTTCTTTTACATTTCTTTTATATTTATATAACAATTAATTAATTATATGGTATCTAATCGTAAACCTATTGTATTCACGACTCTTTCTTATCGGCCGCTCTGTCCACCTCTTCGGAGTCGGTGTCCAACGCATTGCGTATATTATTAATCAACTCTTCGTACTCGGAGTCGCCCTCAGCGGTCGGCCCATCGCTGGTCTCGATTATGCCATTAATAGTGCCCTTTATTTTGGTCGCCGACTCATCCAATTCGGCCAATACTAACGCCAATGCCTTTTGCTTTGACGACAATTTCCTACAAATAACCACAAAATCAAACATCAATTAAACATCGGATCAAATGAATGGCAAAGACATCACACATACTGAGGAACTTTGATCTTAAGGTGAATATAATGGTCGCCGAAGCCGTAACTCTCCATCCGTCGGATACCCTTATTAGCCAATCGTATGCGACTGTGAGAACTGGTTCCCGACGGGATACTGCGGCGTCTGCGCAGAGTTGGCGCAAAATGAACGCTTCGGTGAACGAAACCGAATGGGAGCCGAGCGCCGAGTTGGCCACCACTCTCATCCAGACGCTGGGCGCGCTCGTCGGCGTCTTCCTCTCGCTCCTCACCATCGTGGGCAACGTCCTCGTGATGATCGCCTTCAAGACGGACAAAACGCTGCAAACCATCTCCAACTACTTCCTGCTGTCGCTCGCGCTCGCCGACTTCCTCATCGGCTGCATCTCCATGCCGTTGTCCCTGGTCTACATTCTGGCCAATTACTGGCCGTTCAGCGCGCTCCTCTGCGACGCGTGGCTCGCCATCGATTATCTCAATTCCAACGCTTCCGTTCTCAACCTTCTGCTCATCTCTTTCGACCGCTTCTTCTCCGTCACGCGCCCATTGACTTATAGAGCGCGCCGCACCACCAGACGCGCGTGCGCCATGATCGCGGGCGCGTGGCTCGTCAGCGCCCTGTTGTGGCCGCCCTGGATCTTCGCGTGGCCCGCGATCGAGGGACGAAGAACAGTTCCCGCTGACCAGTGCTACATCCCGTTCCTCGAGTCCAACATCTGGGTCACGATCTCCACCGCTTTGATCGCCTTCTGGCTGCCCGTCACGCTCATGTGCGTTCTCTACTGGCGGTGAGTATTGTTGACACGACGCCGACGACCACTGACGACACTCTCTCTCTCTTTAGGATCTGGCGCGAGACGGAGCGTCGCTACAAGGACTTGACGGCGCTCGTGCTCGTCTCCCATTCGCTGTCGTCGTCGCGCAACTCCTCCCAAGGTCACGCCGCGGCCTCAGTCAGCTGTTGGCAGAAGTGCTGCGCGGGGAAGACGGCGGCGTCCCAGACGTCCATCGCGATGTCGGGCGAGACGCCGCCCACCAGCGACTCCATCTACACCATCGTCATTCACCTGGAGTGCGCCAACAATGAGCACGCGGCCACCGTCACCATGCTCAACACCTGCGACGCG